GATGCATTACGCTAAAGTTTTGTTTTGTAAAATGAGCCTGCCATTGTGCATATATATATGCTTCAAAGTTTCTGAATCAAGTGTTTGGATACATGTATGTCTTGTGCTTGGTGGAGAATGTGCGCATGTGCCAGTAAGTTGGCAGAAAAGAAAAATGGGAAGGACAAATAACATATGTGATAGGCACTTATGATATGGTTATGAATTTTGGAATTTTCCATCCAAGTAATTGGTCTCTTTTACCCTCTGTTTTTGCCCCATCACCTTGTCTCTGCAGTGCCTTTTAAACGATAACAACCCACACATTTAATATGTCAGGCTATGTTCCTTTGCACACGTACAAAAAAATTGCATGCAAGTGCAAGATTCACAGAATCATTAGCAATTTGGAAAAGAAGTCATGCCCTGTTAGCTAAATGTTACAGTGTTTCATTGTTGTCATTGTTCTAACCCCTCTGCTGCATGGTTTTGTGGATATTTCTTCATCCCTCCCAATCTCCTGTCAGACATGCATGTACATGTAGTGACTGCGCCACTGGCCTATGGTGTAGAGATGGGTTTTTTGAGTACATGTAGGCCTACCTTGAGAAAATGCCTAATACACTTACTGTAACTTTGGAATGCTTAAGTTCATTCATAAAAAATTTGCATGAGTAGTTAATAGTTAAAAATTTCATTGAGACAGGAAACCTTTTGTCTATGTTTGAGAGGACTACAAGAATGAGGACCCAAAACGTAATGGAGACACACTTACATCCCCACGATGCTGCCAGGGCCCAAATGTACATACACATGCACCTGTACATTGCATTCACAATGAGTTGTGAGCAGATACATAATGTTTAAAGCATATGGCCAGCCATTCATTAGTCCATCCGGATGTATGTTTTATTCATGACTGCCGTTTATTTGCAAACCACCATAGAAACGTCATAATGACAGAGCAGTTAACATGCTCTTAATACTAGGCTACGAAGCACATTGCTTCTGTGTGCATACGTCACATTGACAAAAATCACATTTTCCCCCATGGTGATATTTGTATAAAGCCTTTTTGTTATTGCATACGGTACATGTAGTTCACACACAAATGTAATATACATGTATGTGCACTGTATGGTGCTTGTTCACTAAAATACATGTACGGTACAGTGCCATATGTTTTTTGTGGTTTAGTGCGAGAAGCACGTATTTTTTAAATTTACGAGGGCACGCCCCTTCCCTCCTCCCCAGTACTACTAAATATTTTCATTTACAATTTACCGGTACACTTATGTTTTCTCTCACAAACCAACTCATATTCTCAGTGTCAGTGCCTGTTGACCACATAGACCGATCCAGTAAGCCCCGTCCACTTCGCACGTGGGCACTTAGCACATGCTCTCCTCCAGTGCCACACTATTGGCTCTAGCTGCGCGCAGCATGTGCACGTGCATACATGTACATGTGGGACATTTTGTGCACGCATGTCGGACATAAATCAGGGCTGTGATTGGTCAGAAAACAGTGGGGCGGGGCTTAATGGATCGGTGTAATGAAACAATTCTCAGACCAACTAGGAGTCCTTACAATAATTAGGAGAGAAGACACCGCATTAGATGGGTCTTCCGTGTTTAAACTGTAAAGCAGGTTTTTGTTTTGTTGATCGTTCGAGGCATTTTCTTTCCTGCTGCATATTCTGTGGAGAACCTTGTCTTTATTAGAATCATGGCGCAACTTCCCTTCCCCCCCAGGTACATGTTGTTATGGCCTTGTGTCTGTAAACAAAGATGTAAATGCATTTCAATTCCATTATGTGTCATCAAAGCTAATCAGGTAAGGAAGGAAGTGACAGCGACAGAAATTGATAATTTTCGGATTTTATCAGTCGAAGGCACTACAGCCAATCCACAAGAAAGTATATGTATACATGTTTGTAGATTTTTATCCACCCAGCTGTCGTCAGGTTCATCAGAATAGGAATGTGTGACCCCTAAATCTGCCAATAGACTCCCCATTCTACCCCTCCAACCACCCACCCTCTGCATAGTGGTGTTCCCTGGTACATGTACAGTGAAATTATGAACTTTCTGTGAATTTGCGCTGCAGATGGAGAACCCCCCCTCGACATAGTGTCCATCAAAGCAGATGAATGAGGTAACATAGTTCACACTATAAAACACTACTGTTTGTCCGGAAGAATTTTTTTGGGGGGGGGACCCTATGAAATGAATTGACACAGAGTCTGAGCTGTGCCCATGTACAACCAACGCCATTCATTGATGACTGTGACGCGTCAGGACCTGGCCAGCCCAAAGATGAAGATGGGAAGGATGACTAAGTGACTGAACAAAGCAAGGCATTTCTTCGGCAGGCTAGTCAGCCCCCAAATGCTCCCTAGTCTGGTAGCCATTCGGTAAATGGTTTGCCGACACTGGGCAATGCTGATGGGGGAGAGACTCGACCCAGAGCACTTTCCCATCTGTGTTGGCCCCTGATGGCATCAGTCTCAAGGAGAGCCTCCTCATCTCCACACCAAGTTCTCGCTCATTTCTTCCCTGGTCCCCCCCTCAATAAAAGCGATGGCAGCCTCAACTAGCACGACACAGGCTCTACCATTAGGCAGTGCGCGAGGGGGAAAATAAAATCCTGCATCACATGTTGGACAGTCGGTTCTCGTTATAAGTGGCTGTGCATAGCGTGCTGTTGAACATACATACATGTACATGTACGTTGGACTGTAACGTGACAGTGCAAGATTTGTAGCTGAAGCAGTTATGTACACAGTGATGGGAAGAACCTTCATTATCGCCACATGGCCGTGTGTTCAGAGACAGACCTGATGGACAGGAGGTGAATATAAATTGGATACTGATTTTTGATTGCAAAATTAGTCAAGTATTTTTAATCATTTTGTTTTGTGAATCCCTTCATACGTGTGGGTGAATAGTTTAGTTTTCATTTACAGAGTTTGAATTTGGAAAAAAAAATGTGTTGCCGAAGGTTGTTTTCATGACAGAGATGGACTTTGAGATTTTTGAATCTCACCCTGCATTTCAGTGACTCTGGTTTTGTACCGACTCATTCGCCAATGTGTGAAACCTTTAACGGCCGTTTCAACACCTGCCATGTAGGCTTGTTAGTGCCTGTATTAATTCCTTAGCAATCTACAGATTCAAACAGCATTGGAGGGATACATTTAGCTATTTTGCTTGTGGAAAAATTTGCCTTTTCTGTTTTCAAACAATATCCACAGTTCCTTCCTTTGGCAATTTTTCCGGGAAACTAATTCCCCAAATCCTTCGGATATTACATCACTGTACAGGAATTATTTTTCAAATCTGAATGTACATCTATGTGTTTGTTTATGGGGTGTAAAGTCTCGTACTATACAGCAATGACTGGTCTCTGCATGCCCTGATCCTAGGGGAATCCTCCAAAATCTAGTGGATTTTGAAGGATCCGAGAATTAAGGTTAAAAGTTCCCACCACTAATGATTGAACTTGATTTATGGATTTACATATTTTTACAGGTGGGATTTAAGTTACATGTAGCTAGTGGTTGAAACGTACAACTATATTTTTTGTTTTGAATTTTTGCTTGGGTTTATTTGTTTGTGTGTTTTTCTTTTGTTTTTGACTGAGTTGCACTGGTACATTTTTAATTCTACATATACATGTAATTAAAATCCTGACCATTTAAAAAGGAATTTCAATCCTATTATCACTTGAACCATCAACCGTTTGTGCGCTACACTGTTAGCAGAATTTACAAATGTGCATTGCCTATAGGACTCACACACACATGAATAGCATAGTGCAGAAGACAGATGCATGTAGTGTTGGCATCTTCCCACTTTGAGTTCTTTTAGTCATTCCTGATCATTCATTTCAAAGGGCTCAGTGAAATGTTCAAATTAATAGATTTTTTCTGCAAAAGTGTGTCACTGCCTTCACATAAATGAATATATGCATTTCATAATAACTGACTTTCAATTGGTTGATTACAGTATTCATAGCTCAAAAGATGCATTAATCCACCAATCAGACCTTGGCCTTATATGTCATTCTTGTTTTTTTTATCTAGTGTTGATTTTTAACAGTGTACGTAAATTGAGCAGATGGAATAAGTTACAGGCATCTTGCTTTGCAGTTTCTGTGTTTGTAAGGAACATTGATAGTAATTTTACTGAGTTGATTGATGTAGGCTCATTCGAGTGCAATGAAAGCAGCAGTTACTGTCCATTTACAGCGAAGATCTATGTTATTAATGCAGTCATTAAAAAAACACAAACTGTGACCAGTGAATCAAAACCATTCTGATTAAACCTTTAAATTTCCCCTCATACATTAATGCAAAATGAGGTTTCTCTCTCCTTTTTATGCAGAAATTTTGTCACAAAAATTATGTGATTTCATGCAGCAAGCAAAACTTCATGTGGGTTATTTGTGGCTGTAGTTTAGGTACATGTACATGAAAAACACAGAAACTTGTATAAAGTTCAACCATTTGCTGGTGATGTTTTTTTTAGCCAAAACCTAACTTTGGAAAAATTGCAGGGTATATTTATTGGCCACTTTTCAGATAACAACCATTACAGGTACATATTTGATGCTTGAAATTGATTAGCGCTACATGCACAAGTACGTATGTGTACATGTATTTCTCACTGCAACCTCATAATTTGCAACACTGTGATGCCTTGCCAGAAGGTGATATTTGCCATAACAGGTGCTTTGTGCATTTGCCAAGTTGAAGTTCAACAAGGATGCATATCTGCAGTCCAAGGCTCAGAGAACTATATTTTAACCTGTCAGCTTTCCCAATGAATCAAGATTGCCTGGTTATAGCGGTACCATATTTGCCCAACCTTCATTGCAGACTGCTTAAATATGAACAAAAGGTTTGAATCGTTCTGTACGTAGGTTGTCAGGAGGGTTTGAATCCATTTTTGGCAGACAGGAAGTACCCAGTACCCAGTCATCTTTATTAAATTTATCCCATTTTTCCTCGACTGCAGGACCCAAAATTGGTACATGTAACTCAGAGTCCCCATCTAAGGGAGGAAGGAAGGAAACAAGTTAATGACCCCAGAGCTTCTTTTCCATTGACGGTCAGCCGTCCATTCACAGCATGACTTACAATTGACCACTGTGCAAGAATGAGAAAAAGTGTGAGTACACTGAATTTTCTTGTGGACCGCTGACATTTTTTTCTTACCAAATGATGAGGCCACTGTACACATTCATAAAGTCAACATTGCTCGGAGGCCAGTCTCTCTAATCTCAATTTTCTGGCCAGTGGTCCAGCTGTTTTGTTCCATCGTTGTCATGTTACTTGTGTGGAGTCTGAACAAAACCTTTATATTATGAACACATACATGTACATGTATACCATGTGAAGGACCTCCCTGCTTGTTATCATTAGCTTGCGCAACGTAAGTTGTGTAACGCTACCATTTTTCACCCCCATTTTTTGAGCTCTACTTGCGATAAGAGTGCCAATTTAAAGTCGTAATGACTTCACTCTTTGCATGTACTTTAATATCTAAAGTAATATTTTTCGTAAATGACAAGTCAGTGGTATTTGTCTTTACCTCTAAACAATTCAGAATTGGACCGTGATATCTGTTTTCCAGGGAATATCAGTGGGTCCGTTGAGACTTTTTTCAGGAAAGAATCCTTTTAAGCCGACAAAGAGGAAGTTTTACTACAAAATAAGTTTTGCTGTGTCAACCTACATGCACACTTGCACATGTGAGTAGGGGTGAATACATACATGTACAAAACTTGCTTCCCGTACATGCCTATATCTCTCAAACAAAAGTTTTGTATCTGTAATTTATAATTGTGCAAATGTTTTTCTGTGGAAATCATGCCTGGAATACTGATTATATTTTCTGAATAAACCAGCCTTAATTTTTTTTGTTAATTTATGGCTTAATTAAAAAAGTGATACAAAGTACATGTGTACCTCTATACAAGTATTAGTTTTGGCATCATTTTTTGGCCCCCCAAAGTGAACTTTGATTAGCTCTGTTGTTCCTTTGTTGTGCGCTTGATGTATAGGAATAGGTCAACTTGATGGCCACCTCCTTGGCCATATGAGCATACGTCATGGGTTTTCTGGCCATGGTTTTTGCCCTGGAAGGCTTTGACTACAACATAACTTGGCAGTTGGCATTGAGCGCTTTGTTCACCAACACAATGGATGTCTCAAGCCCCCAGACAGGGCTTTCTGTTTCTCTGCACTGTGGAAATAACTGGGTTTAAAAACCTGTCGGTTTTCTGATAAGTGCTGATCATGGTGACTTATGTCATGCAGTTGACCTTAAAATTCCAGGGTGGCAATCGGCAAACCAGTGACTTTTGTTGTGGTTTTCTTTTTCTCTTTGGTCACTATTTGTTGAAATTTACTCTATTTATGAATGTTATGTTAGTTTGTCTGTCTGTTTTTTTCCAGTGAGTGAAATTTCCCTCAAATGTGCATCTCTCAAAACTTAAGAACCAAACTGTTTGAAGTGATAATTACTTGAAATAGATTTAGTCTCAAAAAGATATCCCCTAATTCGGTAATTCTATCGATTCAGTTGAATAAGTTTCACTTTAACTAGCCTTGTTCCACAGTGAATTTATACCCAAAGAAAGTGAGCTTGTACGTATTGGTTGTCACGGAAACATGAGATTTCATTTATTGTATTTTGTACCTGGAATGTTATTTTTGAAGTTATTGGTACCGAGTTCTTACCTTAGCCAATAAGATGGATGACACTACTACTAGTACACATAAAGTGATACATTAAAATTTGTAATACATTTACAGATGATACTTGAATGTATGTGAAGAACTTCTGAAAGACCACTTGAAACATGTCACAAACATTTCTTAGCGTGTGAAAACTATAATATACTGGCAACCGTCCCTTCTTATGTGCGGTGTATGCAAGAATGTTACATGTACAGGTACCAGTAATCTGTTTGACAAAACTCTTTTGAATATTTTCTGAAACTTTTATTTACACTGGAAGCATTTCTCCTGTCCAGATCACGTTCTAGTACGGAAGTATGCTACTGCATCTGTACAAGGATGGATCCAGAACACAAATTTTCAGAGGGGCAAACTTGCGACTGTGTGGGGGGGAGAATTTTTAAACTTCATGTAACCTTTTATGAACTTTCAAAGGGGTAGGCTACATTTTGGGAGGTCTGACATACTTTTTGAAGGAAAGGATATGACATAAACCCAGTATTTGACTTTATACTCAAACTTGTACGCCCCTTCCCCTTATAACAAAATTGACCCCCTTTTTCCTTGGGGGCATGCTCTTGTTGGCCCCTCTCCTCTGGTTTCACTCTCGCATGTGTACATTTGTCATGGAAAGACAAATGAGGACAAAAAAGACCAGAAAACTAATTTAACTGTAAACCACAAACAAGTGAATTCAGTCATTGCCCATTAGGCTCAATGGTGGCTCGGTCACCACCATCACCATGAACTATCAAAGTGAAACTCTCATCCAATGTGGTTTCTTTGGGATAAGAATCCAATCCAAAGCCAGCCCCAAACTTCTCTTTTTACTTCTCTCACGGAGGGGCTAAAGAAAAGCCTCCTGTCCCTCTCACAGCTACCCCCTGCTGGCTGCTTGCTTTACTCTGGTACTGCTGCATGACGCAAGCAGTGACCTTGTGGCTTCTTCACTGGAGCCCATTCTTTGCTCAACTTCTGTTGTGTCAAAGCTTCGGGGAGGAGACCAGAAACGCCAAGTCATAAAACAGCTGCATTGTCAGGCAAGTTCTTTCACGGTCCTGTGGATGAAGAGGGATGACTGCCAAAGATTACTTTCTCTGCGTTGTTGCCAAAGCACTGCTTCTTATACACTGTACATGTATATTCCTAATTTGAGATCAACATAATTCTGTCCAGGGAGTTCTCTTCCTGGGGTTTCAGAGTTGTTTTTTGTGATTTCATTCATTCTATAAATTTGGAGTTCGAAAGTGTGACACTGTTTAACGCTATTACATCTGACCTGTGTAATTTGAGGACATGTATTGGTGAAATTTGTTTCAAGCTATTTTTATTTGTTTCCTGAATAATGCACGCTTCAAAATTAAACAAGTTACATACATGTACAAAATCACGTCAAATGTGACAGGGATTTGAAAAAAATTGGATCTCAAATTTATAGAACTACCATTACCATTTATAAAGAATCTTGTTATTTAAGGACTGTTCAAGAGGAGCTCTATGGTACAAGCATGGAGGAAGGTACAAGTGAAGGTGAATTGTGGAAGGTGCTGGTCCTTCAGTATATGGTAATCACTGGCTTGTCAAAATAGCCGCTTGCATAGTGCAAGGCCACAGAACTGTAAGGTATAACAGAGGCCAAGAGGGAAGGCAGTGAGTGACCAAACACTGATTGAATGGAATGCCCTTTGTGACAAGTCCAGGATGCCAGTCCCCGCCAGCCAAACTGATTGGTCGGCCGGGGTGAATGAATAAACAGGAAGCGGTCTGCAGTCCTGTTGAACTCTCTCCTGATTGGTTGGTTGGCTCAAAAGCCACTGGCAGTACTTATTTAGCAGAGGACATGTGCCAGTATGTCTAACTTGAGGTTGAGCCTGCACCACTCTCAGTCTGGTCACCAACAGCAACAGTGGATTTTATGTATTTCTTGTGTTGTAATTCCACGCTAACAATGTTGGATGTACATGTAAGAGTTTTAGTTATCAGCTTACATTGAAAGGACCAGGAATATAAATGGATGTAATGCAGTGTAGGATTGTCTGCCAACAAAAGGTAAGATTAAAATTTTTGGAAATTAAATTTCTTGATGTACATATGTATATCTTTTGTATAAAAAGGCTTTGTTTTTAGGTTACTAAACTTTGACTATAAATCGCTGTGGTTACAGAACCTCTTGTGATCTTAATCCAGGGAAAATACATAGAAATACATCTAGTTTAATTTGAAGAAAGACAGCAAATTTAGTTTTTCAGAAGACAGCATTTTCCTTGTGTTTATGTGGAAACATTTGAAAGGTGTAATTGCCATGGTCGCCCACAAAAGTTTCACCATAGTTATCTTTCACAAATTTTATTTCACAAAAGTTAAATCGTGTACTCACTCTTAGCTAACTTTTTAGCCATCAGTTTTGTTTTCTAAATTTTTGGAAGTTTAAGATGTTAATAGTGTACATATTTACAGATAGTTTATCTTGGTTTGTTGAGTTATCTTAGGCATTATCATCCATCCTTACCACTCAAACAGTATGTATTTTAGTGATCTTGTTTGGATAAATAACCATAAAGAATTCAGTTCAAGTTTTGTTTAACCACAAAGAACTATTTTTCTAAAAATTTCTCTTAATGGAATTCCATTGCGAGAAGTATTTGTCAATTTTGTTTTTTCTTCTGATGATGATAAATACAGTGTTCTTGTCCATAAGTTGGTCTTTGCTCTCAGTCTTCTTTCCCAAATACTGAATGTCCTTGCGCTTCTAAGTTCCTTTCCGTGACTGGCTACTGCCTTTCTGGAACTCTTTACTTACTAAAGAAACTTAATACAGTGGCAAATATATATTCACCAGTAGAACTTCTATTTTGAGACGCCTGGAAAAACAAGTTTTTTATATCGGGACGGATTAAAATCTACCTCTGAAATCAGCTCGGATCATCCAGGGATGTTGGAAATATCAGTGCAGTTAGGGCAGTTTCCGTCTTGCCATGAATGCATAGAATCACTTGCATGTACACGTGTAGGTATTGTTGGATTTCCATAGCCTGTTGAGGCAAATGGAAAAAGTCTTAGGTTTCGCGTGTGCTTCAATTCCCAGTGGTCTTCCCGAAGAGACAGTCCCGACAGTTTGGAGATGCTGGCATCTCTCCCTGCAAGTTACACTCTGTTGTTCCTTTTGAAAAAATATGCCTCACTGAGTGTATACAGCCAATTTTTTTTTTTTTTTGTAATCCTACTTTTTTCAATAAAACTTGCCTCAACCTTACTTACTGGAGAAACAACCCACAGAATTGTAAAGAACTTTGTGCAAACAAGTCAAGAAAAAACAATTTGGCTAGGATATGATTTCTGCTGAATGGTGTGAGTATTACCTCACAGTGGAAATGCCACGCCTGGACAGAAATCCAACTGAACTGCTTGTGGTAATGTCAGATAAATTAGCACAAACTTTGTGTGCAAGAAGGTAAAATGTACAGCATGAGTGTGAATCAGAAGTTGTGCATAAATGTGGTTTTATACATGTATCTTGGAAACCCGTTGGACACTGTAAAGTTAAAGAAAGTATGCTTGATGTCTTGGCATTGGGCAGTGAGTTCCCAGTGCAGACATACTCTACAACATAATCTGAAGCAGTGCCATGAGTGATTATTTGCGATGTATGTGCACCAGGACTTCCTTGATCCAGAATGAAAAGTGCCAGCACTGTCTCGTCTGGACTTGAGTCTGCCTGTCCGAATATTAGGCAAAAATAACTTTGAACCAACAGATTTTAAATATTGAATTTACGTCCCCCATTTTCACGTACACTTGATGGTACGGTATACACCTCTCCCATAAAATTAGGTAAAATACAAGGAGTAACATGAAATTGGTTGTCATGGTTATGAAAAGTTTAGCTGGAATTGGAGCAGGCGGGTATTTGATCTCAGATGAAACCCTGAATTGCCAAAGATTGTGAGTACATGGTGTATGCATATTCCATTTAAAAATCCTTTAAACTTGTCAAGGAGTGTTTTTTCTATACACTTTGGAGATTTCTGAGGGAAATGGTTTCATATTTACATATTTATCATCATTAGCAGGACACAAGGGTATCAGAAAGTAACCCATTGTGAACCGCGTCAATTCTGAATTCCAGTCAGGCACTATGGAACTCTTTTGAATTCAATACTTTACTCCCTTCTCACTCACTTCCCCTCCCCCTTTCCTTCCCTTCATGCACCCCCAGCTTCATTGCCAGTCCAATTTGCATAATTAATTACTCTAACTATCACTGCCTTGCCGTGTGGTGGCATTTCATCATAAGCCAGGAAAACACTGCTGTAATCAAATAACGGAGAATACAGGGCCCCCTCCCACTCACTTTTATTGAACTAACATGCACCCATGCCAGCCCATGATACAACTGATTGTAATGTATTCCTTTGGAGATGCACTTCGGTGGTAATCTCGGTCTGGTCGTCCATCCGTGAGTTGGTGTGCCTTTTCTGGGAAACTGCTGTGCCAGATAAATGAAAAGCGAGTTATTTCCTTTAACCAAACCTCTCTCCCCCCTCAGCTGTCTCAGCTAACATCTGAGAAAGGTTTGATGTTGATGCATTGCAGGCCTAGCATTATAGAAGGAAGGAAATTATACAAAGTAGTCGGACCAAACCTCAACCTTTAATTGTGTAGAGGGCTCTTGATGTTGCATCATAAAGCTCTTCAGAGAGTGCATGGGCTGATCATGACAATGCAAGGTTACTTTGTGATGTGGTTGGTGACCACGGTGCCAGAGAGCTGTCTGGAGTCCTCCTCTGGAGTTACTCACACTAGTTCTGACTGTGGATGGAATAAAAAATGACAAACCCCAGCGGTATGACTAATTCATGCGGACAGAGGGCCATGGATGGATAATATAAAATGAGAAACTGTTGGACTGAGGCGGTCATTTGGCTTACGATATAGCGGTGCTTGCAGCATTTGTGGGCAGTCAGCCCGCATTTGTTAAGTGTTACATGTATGTGCATGTTATTCTGCCTTGATGCTTAACCTGTACTACGGTACACTGATGTATATGTACTCGCAGTGTGGACTTAGTTTTATGGACGTGATACTTTGCTGTAATTCTTTACATGTGATTGTTACTGGTTCTTCTACAGTACAGGAGAAAACAGTTAATTGGCAAGGATTTTTGTAGGGTTGCGTGTTCTAAACAAGTGCTTTTAATCTTGACACTTTTCCAAATACTTAAATTTTTGTCTTAATATCCCCGTTAACCCCAAACCCCCTAGATTTTACCAAATCCAGGAGATTCAGGAGGATTATGTAGGATTTAGGAAGGTCGAGCCCAGCTGCCATCACTTACATCACTTAGCTGGATGTCCCATGAAAGTTGAAGTACCGTACAAGAATGTGCCTCTGCCAAGGCAGTTAGAGTTACTGGCATCATCGTGTACGCATATATGCACTATCCATGAGATGCTGGGCAACTTCACTGAAAACTTGATTTTTTTTAACTTCTACCCATATCATTGTTTTCTGCTCTGCAGAACTGAAATGTCCAGCTCCAAGCAACAGCGCACGGCTCCCATCACCTCCGCCTCGCGCCTCTCGCCCCCGTCGGCTCGGCTGACCACCAGGCCGTCCACACCAGAGGGTGTCCCGCTGTGGTTTCACGGCCTGTTGGCACGAAGTGTGGCCGAGGATTTACTGTTGAAGAACCCACAGTCAGCTGAGGGCTTATTTCTGGTCAGACAGAGCAGCAACAGAGGGGGTAAGAGACCAACATGTTAAAGCCCCATTTGTATGATTTTTATGTTTTTTCCTTTCATGTAGATCCTCAGGACTGCTTGTTTGACAGAACAATGTACCAGTACATTTACTAGTACTAATACACTTTGTCCAACTGAGCAAGGAATTTTGTGCATCATTGATACTTGATCATTGATGCAGCACAATTCATGAATTAAAGCTTGTCATATAGTGTAAGGTCTCCATAGGAGAAGTTAACATTTTATGACACTGCCCCCACAAAATCAATATTGAATGAGATCAACACGATACATTCCAGTTTTGCAACTTCTGTGTCTAAATGTGCACAAGACATAAATAAACTAGTTTCCTGTCCCTTCCCTGAACCCCACTTTTCCAAAGTATTTCCTTCCTGGAGTACATGTATTTGGGAACTCCTGGAGTATTTCGGAAATATACATTCTAACTTCACTAATTCTAACCATTCTCAAGCAAATAAGTTTATGCATGATTTCAATAGTCCGTAGGGGGTTGGGGTTAATGAGGTATGGACATCTCTTTGACCTTTTTTTATTTGGAATTACAGTAAACTCTGACTTAGTCGATATCATACAACTCGGCAAATCACTCAAGTCTTCAGTCTTTCGGAAGTCCCTATCATTTCTAATGCATTTCCATTAGAATTTTTGTTTCTAAGTCAGCTTTTACAAGTAGTCATCTTGCTTAAGTCAGTGTGTTACTCTCCTAGCCCCCATTCCACAAAAAGCGTAACAAAATCCTTTGTGTAAGTCGGCATTTAAAAAAAAAATACACAGTGGCATCGACTCTGTGCTGCAGTTGGCAAGAAGTGTCAGTTTAAAGTCACATACGTGTACTACCGTCCATTCTTTGGTAAAATTCATGATCGTTGCATTGTTGTTTGTGTAGCTTTACAGTTACGTAACAAAGCGGGCACTGCTCTGAGAGATCCCAGACCTTTCTCTGCCAGCACATGTACATTACGTAAAATTGTATGGATTTTCTCCAAATACATGTATGTGTATATAATATGAGGGTATGTGGAGTCAAAATTGACAATGCTTTGCTTTCCCACGATCCAAAACATGAAGCAAATTGTATTGCACGCATAGTGTGGTGGAAGCACACGAGACTTGACGAAGCATGCAGAACACACTGGTTCCTACTGCAAAAAGTAACAAGAGCAGCATGGAATGGCTGGGAGCTAGTGACCCCCATGACAACTCAAAGTACATTCCAAACTTGGACACTCCAAAAACATGAAATGATTGAAAACTTCTGAAATGTTCCTTCATTTCTCTTTATTCCTCTTTATGTGTACAGTAGGTATTTTCTGCTTTCAGGTATTTGTTTCAACATTATAGTGCACATATTTTCAGAGGTCCAGGAGAGGGCAATTTTTCTTGTGGGCTGTCGGCAGACTAATGCAGAGTTTACCGGTCCATGTATATGTAGGCACTCTGTTCGCACTAAATGACCGTTGCGCTTCAAAAAAACCCTGTCAAAACCTTGGAGCATTCTTACAGAAACCATGGAACATTTTTTTCATTGTATATTGGACTAGATATTTTGTGCATTGCATCCAAATCACATAGATGCACATTTACATTATATATGCAAAGGCAATCATTTCTTGTAAGTCGGCAAAATGACGGCTTCCTTTGCTTAAGTTGTCACAAATTTTTGGGTCCCAAGAGTGTTGAATTAGCCAGAATTTACTGTAAGTGCAAGATTCTTTCTGCTTTTCCTTCCTACAGGCCATTTTGTCATCTCCGTCTGCACTGGCCAAACAGTTAACCATTACCTCGTAGAGACGCTGGAGTCCATGTTCTATGTCCGGAGGGACCGATGTGAGGAGAGAGGGCGGGATATTCAGGCCAGGGACCTTTGCAGTCTAGTCCACTGCTACCGAGCATCACCTCTGGATGAATCAGGTATACTACATGTCAAGGGAGGGGGGGTAGCGATACAGCCAGACGTAGTGCCCTCTTTTGTTTAGCACATTCTAGCAGGATAAAATTTTGGTTGGTTTTGAGGCAGACATGTTTACACACATCTGATGTTGAGAATGGCTCTGGAGGATGCATTTGCCAGCAAAAATTCTGGCCCCAGACTATTTTGTGCAGCCTTCCTCGCAAGTTAAGCTTCATAGAAGAATGAGCACTTACATGTACAATATCATTAGACCACAGTCCAAACAGAAGAAGTTTCTGTAAATTAAAAATGTTTGCAATGTTTGACAATTTGATGCAAACCTGGTGTGCTGAATTTGTGTGGTGCTACATTTACATTTCAACAACTAATTTTCTGTCAAAACATCCTTTCTGATAGATCTTTAACCGCTAGTTTTTTGTCTTGATTTTGTGGTGTATTCAGGGTTAATATTGAAGGATGGTCTTCTCAGGACAATCCCGGTTACTGTAACAGCACCCCTGACTGCCATGACAAGATCCAAAATCAACCACAACTACATCCCTCTGCATATGGACAACCGGGAATACATTGCCCTAGAGGACTTCACAGCAGGCGACGACTTGCAAGCTCTGAGCTTCCGGAAGGGGGAGGTGCTGACCGTGCTGCAAAAAGAAAGCAGGAACTGGTGGTTCGCCTACAATGCCCAGCAGGACTTGGGTTACATCCCGGCTTCGCTGGTCTCAAACCTCAAGGAGTGGAAGCAGAAGTGCCAGAACAGCGGGGCCTTCTGCAACCTGGGCTGCTCGGACTCGGACGGGGTCTTCGTCTCCAACCGGGAGAAGACGGACGAGAGGAGGGAGATGGAGCGTCGTTGCCTGCTGGACGTGAACTCCAATGTGCTGGGCATCTGCTGTGGATGCTCAGTGTCGGTGCCGGCCAGCCCCACCCGCTGCAACAGCAGCCCCTCCCTGCAGGAGAATTCCTGCCACAGCAGCAGCAGCCGAGAGGTGGTCTGCGTGTCGGCCGATTATATTGCCTTGTGCCTGAGGCATCGGGAGCACCAGAAACTCTGCGAGATGCAGAGGGTGTTTGATGCCAGGTTGTCCCAGCAGCTGTCGCCCCCAGGCAGAAACGCACTGCCTAACAGCAGCCGCCAGTCCCCGCCGGACTGCAGACGGGACCTGAAGCCGAGGCCTCTCCAGAGGAGCCACACGGAGCCTGCCAATATCCACAGTGCCCCGCCCTCACCCCACCGAAGGACCGAGCTGGGTCAAGCGCCGTCCCACAGCAAAATGAGCAAGGAAAATGTACCCTGTTTGCTGGTCAGTGCAGTCTCAGTCAGCGAATTGTCATCGAGTGCCATGCCAGATAGGAACAACTGCAATAACAAACAGCACGGCTTTCCGAGGTCTTTGTCAAAGGAGGGTTCTGAGTTGAAATTGCTCACCTGCTTTGAAGAGGGAGAAACCAAAGTGATAAGCAGTAATTGCTCAGCACAAACAGATGGCAAACTTGAGCCAGGTGACACCCATGCAGCTAATGGAGAGATATCAAAAAGACCAGATTCAAGAGAGATTGAGAAAATCTGTGATAAGCCTTACGATCCTGTAGCGACTTACCTACGACTGGCAGAGTGTACAACTGGCCCTCAGTCAGCCATACGTTAGTGAACAAGCCAGTATGTCTACTCTTTGTTAAGATTGTGATTATTCTTCTGACAGAACTGACTGAGAACTTGGAGGGTTGAGCTAACCCGACATTGGAACTATGTATTCCTTGAATAAAAATCCAGTTTTCATAAAATGAAACTTATATCTTACTAAATGTATACAAGACTATCAGTATTTTACATTCAAAGTTGCAACTACCGTACTGTCTTCATTAACTTCGTGTGTTTCTCCCCAAATTTGACTCGCTTAAAATATTGTTACAGGCAATCAGCCTGTTCTAAAATCTTAATTAAAGAAAAGGCAGCTACTTGGACTCCGTATATTCTAAGTACATAAGATGTAATTGAAAAGTTTTAGCACAGCGATTGAACAATAGTCTGGAAATGAAATCAACTCCGGTCTCCTGAAGGGGCACATTGCTAGTTTTAATAGCAAATTCTGTTTTTCTTCCTTCATGTCTGGATGGCATGTATGAATTTTTCAACAGCCTTCAAGTTACAATTTGTACTTAAACGCACATGTATTTTTGGTTCTTGTACTAAATGCATGCTTCTTGTGTTTTACACAAATAGGTCTGATACCCTGCCCTATATACTGGATTTCAGTTTAAATGATTTATTCGAGAATGCTTCTAAGTCTGCACTCAAGAAGTGTGCTCATAGCAATTGGTTTGTGCTACACTGAGTAACATTGCTCGCCTTGCATTTTTCCCCCAGCAGCCTTTGTTAGGACTCCTTCCCCTGACTTGCCTGACCAGGACTCGAACCTAACCCCTCCTGCTTTCTAGTGCAGAGGTCTTGCCCGCTTCTCTGCTTCGATGTGTCATTAGATTTCATACAGTAACCATAACACACTGAAATAGCGAGAGATGAGTTGAAATATTGGACATTATTACCTCTAGAAAGGACACCAGGGAGCCATCCTGAGTTATCCATTTCTCATGTTTCCTGGTGGTTACAGCTGCCAAAACATTTGCCATTGAAGTATTACGGGAAAGCTCTTAGGTCTTAGTTTGACGTAATAAAAAGAATTTGAGTCTGAATAAGTTACATTGTGTAGTTGACTACAGTTCATGAAGACAAAACAGAAAAATGTACAATTTTGTCTTAACAATTTTGATATCCTAATTTTACCCAAAATTTCATCAGTTTGGGAAAAAAGGCTTATTTTAGCTAGATACCTGATTACAACTTTTTTTTAATTATACCAACACACTTTGGCAATAGATGCAGTCAATCAACAAAAAATAAGTATTCATGTGCTTTAAGTAGTGATGTTGTTTTGACTAATTTTGTGTGCTTTCTGTGTATTCAGTCACCCGTGTAAAATTACCAAATGGTGACTGCAAAGGTTACCTCTATTGTGGAATTTTTTGGAAGAGGTAATTAAGAACTAGTTTCTTCTATGGACTATATAAAAAATAAATGACCACTTAATAAGTAAGATACATGTCATTTCCAGAAAACTGGATCAGTAACACTGAACCCCCCCCCAAAAAAATAAATTTTACCAGGGATAATTCAAGTGTCAAGGCTTTTTTTTAATGCTGCATTAGTCGATGAGGGGAGGGGAAGATGTCATATGATGGCATAGTGAACAAAATCATAAACTGTGAAGGGTTTTGTTTCCCTGAATGAGACAATTCCTAGGCGGGATCACGAAGTCTAATCTTTCATGCTACACACTATTTCTGTGTCAATAATTTTGTAACTTGTGATGTTAAACGTGGGGCGTCAGTTCAGATGTACCCTGGTTTCCATTTTCATTGGTAACCACAGGCAGCATGTTGCATTTATATAAAAAAGGGCAGCTGTATGTGTACAGTAACGAAAGACTGAAGTTTAAGCAGAGTGTAAATGAATATTTTTGTAATTCCATTTACAAACCATGGTATGGTAGTGTTCATTGTAAATCAGTGACAAAAGTACTATTTGTACAAATTAATTATTCAATATTGCATTAACCCTGCCTGTACTATATACATATTATTTTTCACACAAAAAAGCTGAACAAAGTCTGTATTATGACACTGTCAAAAGCTTGGCTCAGATGACTTTCTTTCTCAAGAGTTTTATCGTAATGAATGGACATGCACAAACAGGATAACTCTATTCTTTTGTGGCATTTATTGAGCAATATTAGGCATCAACCAGTTTCCAGACTCAAAAACAAAATTGCAGTACTATAAGATTTATCTTTTGACAAACAAGTAACATCCCGTGGATAATTTTTAATTTACACATGTTAAAAGAAAAGTGTATTGCTAAAATTCATTTTCACTTCTCTACATCTGTCAAATTTTTTATATGTTCAGGAAATGTTGTACCTATGTCAAGATTCTGCCCAGAGTTCCTTTTTAGTGATTCAGAATTTTGAGCACAGTTTTCATAAAATATGGACTCCTCAATGGAAAATGGCACTAAAAGGGAACAGTGGTGCTGGTGCTGTGCTACAATAGTTGAAAACTCTGGTTGATCTCGGTTACCAGTGACCGATGAGAAGAGCCCCATCCAATCCATTACAACCAATTTCCTCGGTGACCAGCCAATGAAATGTTTTATATGGCTCAAAGTGAGGGAACTGGTCCATTTATGTTCACAGCACTGTGAAAATCCCCTAGACAGTGGTCAATGGGATTTTGTTACACTGGCGTCAACTGTCTAGGACAAAAATATGTAGTGTCACAATTGACCCAGCAAGCAGCAAATGGTTAACACCGAAGAAGGAATATTCTGGCGAGCTAGTTTACCTGACCAGGTTACAAGAAGGTTGCAGCTCTTTGGGCAGTGAGAAAAGGACATTTGATAAGAGGACTTTGGAAGTGTGACTGAAGATGTTCTCAACACACTATCAAACCTTCGTGTTCTGTCCAGAATAAGGCAAGTACAAAGTTATTTATAGGGTCTAACCCAGTGCCAATTACAGGAACACACCTATTTACTAGTAGCCCAATACCTATGTCAAAGTAACCAGGTTTTATGTTACCGGTAACAGATTTCAATCCACCAATTTCACTTTAACTTTTCCCCCCACCTTCGGGGGCTAGGAATTACCATTCACATTCACAGTGCACCCTTATGTTTGAAATACATGAACCGAGTCACTCTGTCACATTCCACTTCCCACACATCTCTTCCTTGTAATCTTCTACTAATATTAAGGCCATTACTGGTCCTTTAATTATAAAATGCACTGAAACACTGAACTCTGCTTTTGCTTTTGGGTCCCAATTTGTTTGACGGCAGTCTCCAGTAAATCTATTTACTGCTGCCACAAAACTGCATACATTTTTAACGTGCTGGAGAGGCTGGGATGGGTTACAAAACGCTGCAAATCATGCCCATCAAATCTCGTCAGTTTAAGAAACATGCCAACCGGGTTCTTTTTCAAGGCATTTTTCCAAAATGTTGATTCTTTGATGGTTCAGCTATCACTGCTTGCACAAAATGTAATGGAGTTGTACAACAACATCAGAAGAATTCAAAGTTAACAACATTCCACACCTGCCTGTGTCTACCTTTCTGAAAGTTTGAAATATAACCATTTTTTTTTCTTCCAAGAAACATTCCATGTCGGCCTTTCAATGCATATATCATTTGGGACAATTTAATATAAAATTAAAGTTTGCATAAAATAAAAGCAATACTGTCACTTTCAAAGAAAAGCAAGTGGTTGAAACGAATTGTTCCTTTAGAATATAATTTCCAGCATATATACATGTATATTTTTTCAGTAGAATAATTTAGCCTTTTCTTTTTACAATTTGTGTACAACAGAAATACATGTGATAATGCAAGACGTTGAATGAAATGAAGCAAAAGTAATGAGTTGAGTCTTCAGATTTAAAGAGGAGAATTTCAAATGTTTTACATGTCAAAAACACTAATGACACGAAATCCCAAACAACCTGTTCCAATCAACCTGAAAAAAAAAGTGCTACCAATGAGGAGGAACTACTGTTCTGGTGTTTTGGCATACACAGACATCCGGCAATAAACTCAGCGCTGCAAAATTTCGCCCTCAAAATGATTCCCCCAATATTTGAAAATTATAGAAGTACAGAAAATCGAATTAGTCGTCACAAACTTTGATAAATTGCAAGTGTTACTGCTGAATGGTCTCCAGATTTAACTACAAATTAGAGAAAAACTCTTGCACGGAAATAATTCTTTGCTATGTTGCTAGCATAGCAAACAAAGCACTTGGAGTTAAAAGCACACCATTAATCACTTTCAACAACACTAGAAAAGAGAAAGTTTGAAGTGAAAGTTTAAATAAGTGAAAGTTTAAATCTTGAAAATGTTCACCAGAATGATCCCCAGTGTCTGACAGAAACAAAAATGTTTATTGAAAGTTTTCAAGCACTTTGGCCAATTCAGATGTGTCGCCTGATATCTGAATTTCTCATCATACCCCTCTCCACTTCGGGGATTTTTTTTTATGGATGGATGGATGCATCCTGTCAGTCTCTCCATCATGGTTCATCCTCCTCCATCTCCGTATCGGGGCTTGTGGCCTCGGTAGACAGCGTCGAGCTGGTTCCAAGTGCCACTGTGCCCAGCGAGTCCCACGTCAGCTGGTAATTGTTCTCCAGTCTCCTCTGCCTCTGCTGTTCGGTTGCCTCAGCTCCGCCCCCCTGAAAACGTCAAAACAAAAATGCCGTGAATGCGTTCAAGAGCCGTGCATGTTCTCTTAACCTTGAGGGACTACAGTTCGAGCCCAATCAATAATGCACCATTGCTGATTACCGAATGGGGACCTCCACCCAATTGCGCTTGTCACAATACAGACCACAGTTCCCCTTTTCTCAGCTTCCCCACAACATCAAACCTGACTGCATGACAGATCGGGCCGAGTCCCTGTTCCTTTTTTTTTTTTCAATTTGGCACGGGGACCTTTTCAACTGAGGCAATAAACACTCTCAGCACTTCCTTTTCCTACCCCCCCCACCTACACTGTTTTTTTTTTTTTTCTTGTCCTTGTGTACGTAGGTGTACCTCCAGTCTCGGAGACGCACCACTTAGGCCATACTGGAGGAACAGGTGGGCGGAGGGGTCATAACCCTCACCGCATGACGACAAACTGTAATGGGAAACTATCACCCGGTGGGTTACGAGAATAAGTGGTGATCAATAAAAATGGAGATGTGGTCCGAGGGGATTTGATTAAGGGCAAATTTGCTACAAATAGTTTTGACAGTGTTTATTTCACATATATAAATCTATATAGATTTATATAAATAAAAATCTGTAACTCAGCAAATTCCTTGAACAAAGTAGGATGAAGTGTGCAGTGGTCTCCACTCACCAATGCAATTCCCTCAAGTAATATCCTCCAACTTACCACTCTGTGTCACCATATCAAAGTCTTAACATCATTGGACACAAGCTGTGCAGCATCCCAAAAGAAATGAGAAGCCTGTTCTACACGTACTTGTTTCAGCAACAGAGAGGTTTAAATTGGCAATGCATCAAATAGCCCTTCGGCTTTTTTGGAATTTGCGTCATTTCCTTAATTTTTTTTTTTTGGGCGGGTGGGCTTATTTTCAATCTGGCTCACTTTTCTCTGAGCCTTGACTATTTTAGGTCAAGAATTGTTCCTGGTCAGTTATCTTGCTCAGCCGTGATGGTCAGTGCTAGGAATGTTCAATTACTCCACATGTACAACTCCAGACTTTTGTTTTTAATTCAGCACATCACCTCCTCTCCTCAGGCAAAGAAGACTTACGCTGCCTATCTTCTTCTTTTTTTTAACTCTTTTTTTATTTTTTTTTTTACTTCTAACGTGGGCGTGCCTGTAGTCTCTGCTGCTATGAACCTCTTGGCCCAGACAGTGCCAAGAGCGTGTGGGCGGGCCTGACATCTAGCGCCAGGCAAGACAACCAAGGGCAAGTAATTGAACATCACATCTTGCCAGTAACTAGAATAAGAGGCTGCTTACTGACAAGAACTGCGGACCCTACAGTATCATAGCGTTAGGTCTTTATCTTGTGTATTTACTTTTACAAGAATAGACGGGTAGCGTCACACAAAACTGCTCCTGCATGAAAATCCCTTGTTCCACAAATGTCCAAATATCACATGAAACAGTTTTTCCTGGACTTTTCGAAAAATCAACTTGAAATTCTATAAATGTGTGGTGTGCATGATGACATTTGAAGAACACTTCTCGGGTTTATAACATAAACACCGATTACAGTACTACTAATCACGACTGAACAATGCACCGTTTTTTCACTTTTTTTGCTATGAAGTGCAGAGTTACATTCTGTCAGTTTGTCTACAGTACAAATCAAACATACTACCAACATCCTCACCAACTTATTTTTCTTTAAAACTTGGGAAGTAAGAGTGCAGTACACTGCAACAGTGACTGGTGGGGTCCTTGCAATCACTTGGACAAATACTTCAGATTACAGCAGTGTTCCGAATTTGAGCCTGGTCCTAAGTCCACTTAATGAAGGACTCTCTGTAATGTTTTTTTTTTGAGTAGGGTTCAGGCCAAAAAAGACTTGAGGTTTTGGCATAAGTTCAGCACAGGTCTACACAAAAATGACTATTCTGTTATCCTCAACGCTCTTTCCATGAACAATGAGCAAATAGTCTATAATCCTTCCAGTTCAATTTTTCTACCTGTCATTGGTTTTAGGTCATTTTGATGCCTTGTAAAGTATTAAGAGATTTTCTTTTTGGGGGGGAGGGGGGAGGAAACATTGTTAAGAACGATTATTGGGGCACTAAGAACAATTGGAAATATTAGTCCTATTTGGTTCATAAATTGCAATTAACTGATCATAAATGGGCCAACCTTTGTCCATGTCCATTCATTATTTGTGCCATTTTTTAAAATATTTAAAAACTTTTCATTTCTTGAAAGATTTAGTCTTCAATTTTTCGGACTCAGACTTGGACTCAAACCACTAATTTTCTCTCTTTTTTACAGAGTAATTCTACGTCTTATTAATGTGTGAGGACAACCCCTCACTTTATGGATTCAATGTACAAGTGTACAAGTGCCCCTAGGCACTGACAAAGACAGAAGTTTGACAGACATTTGAACATCAATACCTATATGGAAGCCCAGCACCCAGGTTTATGTGCTGTGAGGTTTGTGCACATCCCGACGAAAATTAACCATGCCAACTTAGCCAACTGGCCACTAAGGTGTGTGCACATGTGCATAAACTAATGCATACACTCAAGCATATCCCACCCATGGACACTCTCTTGAGCAGTCAAGAATTTCCGAATTGCATTCCTTGGCTTTTCTTACTAATTTCCCCCCTCCCCCAAAATAAAAAATATCAGAGGCCCAATGATGCACAGTTTTGCAAGGAGGGCGCTGGGCGATGGGATGCACATTCAAAGTAACAGGGCTTTAGAACATTCCCCCACCCCACCCATGAAGTTTGGTGTCACAGCACCTGCCCCCGTTTCCACAGCTTTGAAATCTCAAGACAAACGAGAGCAGTGAGACCTCCGGCATGCGACCAACATTCCCCTGATGATGGGCAGAGCACACTGTACAGAACCAACACTCACTAAACGAGATAGTTTATACATGGTGTAACTGCAAAACTGACTTGTTGACACCTCACCATGCAAACCTTCCAAATGTATCCAACATTTTCTTGCCTCAAATTTTTCAACGTTTTCCCTAAGGATGTACAAACTTCCGATATTCCTCCACAGATGGTGCCACGAGTACACAGAACATTTGATGGCAAAGACTAACCAGACTTTTCAACTCACCAGCAAGCCCATGACCACATTCTTGAAGTAGTTGCTTTCCTCTTCAGTCAGTATCGTTACCCCGTCCTCCTCCTCGTCTCCCGGCCACTCACTGGGTGAGTATGTCACGATCCGAAACTCTATTTTACCAGCTTCATTTTTTTTTTAAACACAGAAACAAATCTCCTTTTACTACATGGGTTCTGCGCATCCTGTAAGGGATGTAAGAGCTCTCAGTGTGGGGATGGACAAGATTCATTCAGTGTATGTAAAATTTACTGCAATTTCAAGTGACCCCTGCATCTGAGGAACCAATGTGAACAACCCTGGTTTCAGCTCTATGTACGAAAATACGCTTTGAATGAACAATCTATACCAAAATTTAACATGACTTTTTTCAGAGGAGGGGTAACATAATCAAATGTCACTGTGCTGAAAAGGTTATAGAAAATGGCTACCCAGTTGTAACAAAGTTTTATGGATGAGCCAAAACTGTTAACAAAACAGACAGGACAAGAAACGCTAACCCCTCACCACCAAAGAAAACAATTTGTTAATGCCACCTTTCCTTTAAAAGCTCCCAAATGCACAAAAAATACACCTCAAACCTTTGTGATTCTGGATTCCATCCTAAAGATTTTTAAGCACCCTCATTCTTGGGAGGGGGATCTCACTCACCGTCTGTGTCTAGGCCAGCATTTTCCAGCTGCTGCATGATGGCCTCCTCGATGGGCCGGTGCTCGCTGTCGTAAACTGCCGTCTCCTTGGGGGAATCGTGCTGAGCCCGCCGGGACCGGTCCAGGGACACCTTGGTCACCTTTAGTTTGACCCTGTCTTTGCCTGCAGCAGCGGCAGCATCACCTGCAATTGGCGAGGTGGACGGTTTCTTTAAGTCTGCGAGGGATAGGAGATAAAAAAAAAAAGAGGTGAATCAAAGTTCATCCACGGGCCAGAGTGCTGCAAGGCATTTGGAAAGATGTTTTGATCCCGGACGTCCTCAACAGAGGCAGGTAGCTTTCAGTACCAATATAAGGCATGTAAACAGCCACAATAACAGGGTTCTGCAACTATCCTCAAAATAAGAGTATTCAACCAGTTTCCAGGACTGAAATTTGTTTTAACCTCCCGTCTTGTGTGCTTCGCCCTTCTCCCTGATACCACTGATGAGGTTCTTCAGAGTCTTGGCCAGCATTCTTGCCCCATCATCCTCATCAATTTCGTCGTCATCATCATCGTCATCGTCATCATCATCATCTTCTCCTCTCGTCTGGACCACAAAGGGGGAGAGAAAATTGATGTAATATTTAGTCAGTCTTCTTATGCACTCCATGCAAGTACTGTACATAATGCTGTACCATGTGCTTTATGTCCCAGGTGACTGAATGAATAAGACTGAAGCCAAGAAGGGATGAAGCTGAGGTTTTTGGAAAACCCCAAGTTGTCGTCACTGGCTTTGTCTAGTCATGTGAGATGCCTTACACTTTACTTTGTTGGAAGAAAAATAGGGATACTCCGGCAAGACAAGACTTTGTGCAGTGTGCAATCTTACAACTGAAGTCCCTACAAAGGAATCAACCAATACGAAGTTACACGGCTGCAGGAACAGAATTGCACGGAAAGTCTGCAAGGGATGTGAATTCACCAACAACTGAAAAACAGCCTGTTATGGGGAAACACAAGCTATCAGATCATGTACGAATGAGGTACGTTGCCACTTGAAAATAAGCAGATCTATATGGATAATTTCCCAGTTGTTTCAATGGATTTCCAGCCACAATTACCTCTTCAATGAGACTGTTGACGGCATTGATCTCTTGAAGCGTGGCCTCAATGTTGTCGATCATCTCGTTCATCCTGGCCACCTCGGCTGGGTCGGAGGTCAACTTGGGAATCTGACCTCTGTACTTTGCCACCAACTCGCCGATGTCGTCCTCCATCAGGCGCTCCAGTTCAGGGTCCTCGAGGAATCTGTCGGTATCCAGGTCAGTGAGGGCTAGCTTCTCAAGCAGGTCATCCCCCTCCTCATCATCATCATCTTCGTCTTCTTCATCGTCAACTTCCTCGGGTGGTCCTTTCATCTTCAGAGAATCTCCACTGGTTTCAGATTTGTCTACCATGAAACAACCCAACGTCTTCTTTGTGAATACATTCAGCTCAAATACTCATAAACTCTGCAGACCAACTGAGGATATTACATCTTTAGGATATTTCATAACACCTGTATTTGTGCAATCACTGCAACACAGTCCTTCCTACTTCAGCAATATCAAAACAAAGTAGCAAGAATGCTCTACCAGCATGTGTCCCACACTGGAAGGAAAAATGCTGGAGCTCTCCGCAAAAGTAAGGAATTTGGGGCCACTTCATGAAAGTGACATCTAACGAGTCTAAAACACTAGCAGTTCTGTGGATGGCTAAGGAGTTTGTGCCTCAACTTTCCTAATTACAGTTGCCCGTTCACGGCCAGTCATGCACTTGCACTTAATACGCTCACAGGCTCTGAATGTGACCTTTGACCCCTCACCTGCAACCTCCTCATCAATGCTCTTGACATTGTCCTGTACTGATTGGAGTATTGATTTTACCAGGGTGCTGAGCTGTGTGGGGTCTACACCCATGGCCAAGGCCTCTTCCAATCCATCCATGTTCACATCTGACTGGTCCAAATCGTCAAAAAGTGAGGATTCTGCACACAAAATGCAATACGACTGCGTACAAATCTCATTCAATCTTAACCCCTTCGCTCCGGGAGACGGCAAGAGGCGCGGCTTTGTGTGAGGATTAGTGCATACCACACATACAGTCTATTCACCATGCAGCTGCTGGTTCAATGGGGCCTGCTGCTGGACAAAGCCCTCCATTCAGGGCATACCACAGCCCAGCAGTCACGGTCAACAGAATTACTAACGCGAAGGGGTTAGTCAATACCATGATCTTGAGCATTTTTTTTTTCATATTTTCTATACGTGTTTGATTAGGATTTGACTTTTGATGACACAATTTAACAAACTTGCTCAAGTGGGCTTCCACCCCAAACTTCCTGCTCCAAGAGGGGGCACATTGCTCAACACTCACGATTTGTGTGCAGTGCCCACTGCTGTAGCCATGCTGCCAGAGCAAGAAGGCTGTGTGGTCCAATGATGAGGTGCATACAGGGGTAAGCAGTGGTAAGTTTCAGATTCATGTCCCATGGCAGTGATCGTGTGATCAGCGGTCAGTGACGTTAGAAAGCAGCAAATATACAGGGCTTGTGAAATATGTTATAATATCTACACAGTCTCTTGACTCGGGTTTTCTAAGCCTGGGTCATTGTCTGTATTTTCAAATCCTGTGAATTCCAAATGCCCAGTAACATCTGCATCGGGATTCCCGTTGGAGAAAAAAATCTTTTTGAGGGTCAACCAACCCTTTGCCTTCTCTGCAGTAACGCTTAACAGCAGATTTAAGTTTAGTTCAGATTCATATAGCACATCAACAGCAGGAAAATCCATTAATATGCACGTATCCATGATTCTATAGCTTCCATTGA